AGTGTACTATGTAACAACAATGGAAATCTAGTATTTGGGCGATTACTAGATTTTTTCTAGTTGCAACTATCGATTTATCACCCGATAATCGATCGATTTAATTATTACTAGATATTTCGTATTTCGTCGTAAGAATAGAGAAAGATAGTAGTTGTCTTCATCATTTGTGTGTGCAGAAACAGAATGGCGAAAAATTTTACGAGATTATTATCTCACAACTAATGCTGATAATGTCGATAAATCTGTATTTCCATTATTACTCAAGAAATTATATACGAATGCTTTACGTCCAGCTTATTGTTCAGGTGGATTTGCTAAAGCCGGAATCTATCCATACGACAAAAGAGCGATACCAAAAGAGAAAATATCGTATTCCGCAACATCATCATCTAATAGTGGTCAACCGTGTTTAACGCGGGCGCTATCAAATGAATATTTATTGCCTGTTCATGATCATATGACAAATAATAATCGTATTTTAAATAATAATGAGTCTGGATATTATCGATTGAGAAGATCACCATCAGCGCCACTATTAAGCTCTACACTAAGTAAATGTTGCATTCTCAATTGCCTCTACAATTTCTTTAGCTTAAGCCACGCGATGAGTTTATGCATCCGATAATTTACACTGGAAGGAAGAAGCAAAGTTAATCTGTAAACCGTAGACAGCATTAAATCTATAGTTTGAGAGTTATACCCTTCTAATAGTAATGTGTCATACTTTTGTAATCGTAGATGAAATAGCTGCGTCAACAGCCATACTCAACGATACAGTCACAACGCCAATGTCTACTACTTCGATATCGTCTTCGGTGTTATCAATGAATAAATCGCTTACATTTCAAACTGATAATTTAGTATCAATTGCTTCTCCAATTACTTCAGTTCCAAAACCACCAATATTGAGCAGTTCATCAATAGTTGGCAAGTCATTTTCATTACTGAATTCTTCACAAGTTCAAAATGGTAAGAAATGTTTAATTATTGATCAATACTCTTAGTTAGGTATCGTTTTTTTGAAGATTCAGTTTCGTCGATTTCGTTTGATTTGAGTACTGAATCAGTTTGCAATTTAATTGAATATACATCTCCAAACAATAGTAAGACATTAATCAGTTTTTATTTTACGATTACATTATTTTTTTCTTACTTTTTCAGAAGATTCAGCGTCACGAGTTTAGAATGCTATAACTACAACACTGCAACGCTATTTAACACCAACTATTGTCCGTAATACTCAACGCAAAACAATGGTCGAAAGGAGTTCTGACGAAAGTCTGACTAGTGTCGAAGCGCTACATCAACTACAAGCCAAAGATATAGCAAGAGAGAAGAAAAAAATAAAAGCCAACGCCGTCGCTAACCTGGCGAAAAAACCTCGAACAACAAAAGCAAAACGTGCTATGAATTTCTCTGACGAAGGTGTTTTAGTTGCTCAACCAACCGCTTCCAATTTATTACCGTCGATTTTACCATTACAACCTACATTATTCCCAATTTATAATTCATATGTGTCGTCAACTTTATTTCCCAGTAGCTCAACAACAGAGTATCCATTATTTTCTAGTCAGACTCAACATTTCGTCGATATTTCAAGATCAAATTACGATCAACAGACTGCGATGAATTGTTGTATTTGTTCAAATGTAATAGCACCGTCTACGACTTATTCGAATTGTGTAAGTTGTAACAATGTGATCTGTTTCTTTTGTTATCAATTCGGTCAAACACCATCTACATTCGTCTGCGAATTTTGTCAAATAGCTGCTCGTGATTTACCACCTATCTATTGAAATACTGTTAACTGTGATTGGTGATATCGGGTTTAGAACTGCGGTTAGTGGTATTTGATTTTCCTTTCTCATATCTGTTTTTGTACATTTGATTCCATAGTTTTCTAGATGATATAAAATTTCATTTTTCTATATTATTACTGTGCTGTTGTTTGTATTTAGTATATAAACTTTCAGATCTCTTCATAAAAAACCTGAAAGTAACCTGAACCGAGTTCAGTTTGACGGATTTTTCTTGCTAATGATTTAAAGTTGACCTGTTGACACTGGGGAAGCATTAGGTGAGAAAGCTTTTCATTTTTGTCCATAAAACGTTTGAAGAGTTAGGTTTCTAA